TGGAGTGGGCAGGGCACTGGGGGGCCCAGAGGCCTCGGGACAGCCGCTGCTGCCGCCCTCTGGGCGACCTGGCATCTCACGCTCCTGAGGTGGCGAAGGAGCGCTGGCACCCACAGCAGGTACCACGCCCACCCAGGCAGCTCAATACTGCGTGTGGCCTCTCTCCCCGAGAGGGAGTGAGTTCAAGTACGAGAGGAGTCCGGAAGCCTCAGAGGGCGGTCGGAGCGCCAGGCCGGGGGCTGGCCGTGTGCTGCTCTGCCCCTGAGAAGTCCCTTAGTCCATGTTGGTGCTGACCGAGCGGGAGATGCTGAGCGTCTGTGCGGAGACGGAGATGTCCTCGTGGTCCACAGGGCTGTGGTAGTCGGAGGTGATGTCGGGGTCGAACAGCGGCACTTGCACAGTGCCCAGGCTGGCCGAGGTGCCAGAGCGCAGGCAGCGCGAATAGAAGCCCAACAGCAGGTCCAGCTTGTGCTCGATGGACTGCACCTGGGGATGGGGCGCAGCTGGGAAGCGGCGCCTGGGACCCGAGGGGATGCGGCCGGGGGCGGGGCTTGGGTCTCCGGGCAGAGCCTAGCTGGTGGAGTGGGCGGGGCTTATCTGGGGAGCACTAATCCCGCTTGGAAAGGTGGAGCTGGCTAGAGAGAGGAACGAAGCTGGGCACTGGTGCATAACCGGGGAGTGGTCAGGTGTGATCGATGGGGATAGTCCACGAGCTACGGCGACAACTGAGAGGCGGGGTCAAATGGAGTAAGAGGATCTGAGGTAGGCTTATCTGAAGCCTATGGGCGGGCTTATGCAACCTGGGGGGCGGGGCTTAGCAGGAGAGGGAGGGTTTATGGGAATGTCTGGCGGCGGGGACTGGGGCTTCGGCCGGGGAGGGGGCTCTCAGGCCTTCTCCCGGACACTTGGGCTGCGGCTGTGGGAAACACACCCTCCCCGTGTCCAGTCACCGCGGCCCCCAGAGCTTCTTGGTATGGCCAGCTCCGCCACCCCATCCTACACTCACCTGCTTCTCCACCTTGACGACGCGTCCCATCATGCTTATTTCATCCACCACCTCCGCGTCGGAGGGCCCCTTGTCGCCCTTCTCCCGGGCCTTCCGGTCCCCGGGCCCCCGACCCACAATTTGGTCCACCCTATGGGTAAGGGAACCATCAGAGGGCCCGGACACACGCCGCCCCTCCCTTCCACAAGAATTCTAGGTTGCCTGATGAAGGAGAAGGCACGACAGGCAATCTGAGGGAGGGGCCATTGTCCTGCCAGATGGAGGCTGAGTTGGGGGTGGAGGGACTAGTCCCTGCTCTGGGGGTTCTCCATTGGTCAAGCAAAGGCACCACACACAAACCTGACAAGTAAAACAACCGCCTGGTGAAAGGAATGGAAATGGTGGACTGGGAGGCCCAGTGCAGTGGCGCACGCCTGTAATCCCAGCATTTGGGGAGGATAGCGAGGGAGGTATCACTTGAGCCCAGGAAGTTGAGACAGACTAGGCAACATAGCAAGCCCTCCTCTCTACAGAAATAATTGTTTTTTAATTAGCTGGTCATGGAAGCTCATGCCTGTGGTCCCAGCTACTCAGGAGGCTGAGGCTGGAAGATGACTTGAGCCGGGGAGGTCCAAGCTGCAGTGCGCTGTGATTGCACCACTGCACTCCAGCCTGGAAGGCAGAGCGAGACGCTAGCTCGAAAAAAAAAAAAAAAAAAGATGGACTGGGAGAAAGGGGAAAGAGGATGGGAGGAGTGGACACATGTGGGAATGTGACTTTTAAAGTGGGTGGACAAGGCTAGAACTGATCTCACCTTATTTTTCTGCTCTCCTTTGCAGCAAAATTCTTGAAAGTGTTATCTCTATCCTCTACCTCCAATTCCTTTCCTCCCCCTCTCTCTTAAACCTACTCCAGTCAGGCTTTCACCCATGCCATTTCACCAAAACTACTGTTGTCAGGTTTTGATCAATTCCTGTCCTCATTTTACTTGACTTACTAGCAGCACTCCACACATCGGATCACCCCTTCTTCCAGCAAACCCTTTCTTCATTTGAAACACCACCCCCTCCCAGTTCTTTTCCTTCTTCCCTGACCTCTCCTTCACTGTCTCCTTTGTTAGTTCCTCCACTATCTCTGCACCCTGGAAACACTGCAGGATCCAAGGCTCACTCCTGGGACCTCTATTCTCTATTTACTCCACTCACTAAGTGATGTCTTCAGATCCATAATTTTCAATTCCTCTACACTTTTGACACCAAATTTTCATCTCCATCCTGTACTTCTGCTCTGCTCTCCACACTTCTCTATCCAACTGCCACATCAACACTCTGCTTGAATGTCCGGTAGGCATCACAAATCCAGCACCTCCCAAATCTCCTGACCCTAAACTTGCTCCATTCATTGCCTTCTCCATGTCAACGAATGGCAACTCAATTTTTCCTCTTGCTGAAGCCAAAAACCTTAGCTTCATCCTTGACTGTCTTCTTTCTCTTAACACCACATCAGAAAACCCTGTCAACTTTGCCTACAAAATGTATCTAGAATCTGACCACTTGTCCTGCCTCTGCAGCTGCCACTCTGTTCCAAGTCTCCCCACAGTCTCATGCGTGGAAGTCTGAAGCAGGTTCCTCATTGGTCTACCTGTGTCCACCCTCACTCCACTAAGTCCATCCTCAACACAGCACCCAGGTTGATCCTTTTAAAAGACAATTCAGATCTTATCAGTCCTTTGCACAAAACCCTCCAATGCTCGCAGCTCATCCTGGATGAACACCAGCATTTTGCAGGGGCCTACAGGGCTTTACACTCTCTGAGTGCTGTTAGCCCTCTGACCTCACCTCTTACCTCTCACTCCAGTGCAGCCACACCAGGCTCCCTGCTGTGCTGAAGCCAACACTCCAGCCACTTGCCCCTCTCAAGTCCTTGGCACTTGCTGTTCCTTCTAGAACCTTCTCACCTATTTAAAATTGCAAAGCATAACAGCCTGACCCTTATTTTCCTCCTTAATATTTATCGTCATCTGATATATTCTAATTTTACTTATTTATCACTTCTTCTCCTTCCACTAGAATGAAAGCTCCATGAGGGTGGGAACTCTGCTGAGCTTTCTGCCATATTCCCACAGGCTGGCAAGTAGTAAATGCCCACTGACTATTTCTCAAGTGAATAAATGAATGAGTGGACAGTGAAAATGCAGGCCAGAAGAGAAGAAGGGCAAGGTGCAGGTGATACGGGTTTGGGGGTGAGGATTCTTCCTAATGCTGGGTCTACCGGAGGGATGTGGGAGGATTCCAGAGGCAAGAGGTGGGCGGTGAGGACAATTTGCCTATTCTCTTGGGAGATGGGAGGTCAGTAATTATTTTAGGCTGATTATTTTAGGACCAGGAAACCATTATTCTAAACAAAGCCCCCAAGGCATATGAGTCAATAGGGCTTGCACAGAGGACCCACCGCACAAAGAAACTATGGTTGGGTTGTTTTTCAGCCTTGGGACGGGTGCTGTGTCTGGCCTCAGGCTGGCACTGCAAGCCAGGGACCTCCTCAGTCTAGAAACTCAGCTGCAGCAGTGAGCCCTTCTGGGTGCTCTGGAGTTGACCTCAGACTTCATGCAGGGCTGGGGTCGCTGCCTCCCTGCCCCTGCCTCCCATCAGGCCCAGTGCACCCACCGAGTTTGCAGGCTCTTGATCCGGCCCAGCATGTCCAGGTGGCCTGCTGAGTACTGCTCAATGACGTCCTTCACGTCGTATGGTCGCAGTGTCTCCTTGAATTTCCTTTTGGCCACCAGGAACTTGAGAATCCTGTTGGGGGAGGGGGCTCAGAGGGAGTGTCCTGTTCGAGCAGGGATTCCTTCCCAGCCCCATCTCCATCTATTTGCTATCCCCTTGTCCAGCACCAGGGCACCTCCTGCTGCGTCTCCCAGCCTCCCCTACCTCCAAGTTGCAGAAACACGGATGAGGTGGAAAGGGGTTAATCCACTAGCCGGGGTGGAGGATGGGCTTCAGAGCACCATGGTATGAGAAGACAGAGAGGAGATTAGCCTCGAGAAGGAGGCTGGGGTGTTCTTTGAAGAGCCCTGAATCCCTGGCAGAGATTGGGCACTGGGACATTGTGGGGCAGACACATCAATTACTCCGCTGTTTTTTTTTTAAAGAGATGGGCAGTCTCACTATATTGCCCAAGTTGGTCTCGAACTCCTGGACTCAAGCAATCTGCCCACCCTAGCCTCCCAAAGTGCTGGGACTACAGGCGTGACCCACTGTTCCTGGCCGAATTACTCTGCTTTAGCATGCTGGCTCTGCCAGCCTATGTGGAGAATACCCTGGATGGGCAAAGGCGTGGGTAGGGAAACTAGCTTTAGGGGACGGGGAAGGAGATACGGAACAGCTTGGAGCAGTTCAGGAGGTGGGGCTAAAAGCCTCCCTGGTCTGAGTCCAGGATGATTGCCATGGCTTGGGTGACCGAGTGGATGGTGGTGCCACTGCCTGAAATGGGTACCGATCCAGGAAGAGGAGCACGTTTGGGGCATGCTGGCTGAGAGGTCACTGGGGTGGCCAAGGAGAGCTGGCTTGGGTCAGGGGGCAGGTCAGGTACTATGTTCTCAACACCGGGCACATGGAGGGGAAAGAATGGATGGGTGAAAAGGGGCAGAGGCCTCAGACTCTGGGGGGTAGTGGGGACAGGTCCAGCTGACTTTGATTTTATATATTTATCTATTTAGAGACAAGGTGTCACTCTGTCACCCAGGCTGGAGTGCAGTAGCTTAATCACGGCTCACTACAGCCTCAAACTCCTGCACTCAAGCCATCCTCCCACCTTAGCCTCTCAAGTAGCTGGAACTACAGGGGCACACCAACATGCCTGGCTAATTTTTTTAATTTTTTAATTTTTAATTTTTTTGCAAAGACAAGGTCTCACTCTGCTGCCCAGGCTGGTCTCAAACTTCTGGCCTCAAGTGATCCTCTTGCCTCAGTCTCCCAAAGTGCTGAGATTACAGGCATGAGCCACCGTGCCCAGCCTGACTCTATTTTTAAAAGGAATACAAAGAAAAGAGGCTTGTGGGAAGGTGTACAGCCAGGGAAGAGAGTGGGGAGCCCAGAAAACTAGGAAGTTGAGGGGGTTTCTGGAGCTAGAGAGGCAGGCTGGTGATGGAGGCTAGGCTAGGACTGCATACCAAGGAGCATGGAGGCCAGATCCATGCCGAGGCCGTGGCCCAAGGGCTCAAGAGACCCTGGTCCCTGCTTAATTTCTGAGGCAGGGGGACAGCCAGTAGAGCAGGGGCTTTCAAACTTTTTTGATCAAGACCCACCATAAAAATACATTTTTTTTTTTGGATACAGAGTTTCACTCTTGTTGCTCAGGCTGGAGTGCAATGACACTATCTTGGCTTAATGCAACCTCCGCCTCCCGGGTTCAAGTCATTCTCCTGCCTCAGCCTTCTAAGTAGCTGGGATTACAGGCGTCCGCCACCACGTCCGGCTAATTTTTTGTATTTTTAGTAGAGATGGGGTTTCACCATGTTGGCCAGGCTGGTCTCAAACTCCTGACCTCAAGTGATCCACCCGCCCAGATGGGAAGCAGCAGTGGGTGGCACACGGAGGGGGTACTCACCTCAGGCCTCAGTCTTACCTGACGGAGCGGATGACTGTCTTCACAGCAGGCATGACGTCGTCCACCGTGAGCTCACACTGGTAGCCCTTCTCCTCTGCTACTTCCTCTGAGGGGGCCTCTGAAAAGGCAGGGATGGGGCAAGTGGCCCACAGAAGGGGCCACTCCCAACCTCCCATCCAACCCCTGTATGCCAAACCACCAATAGAGTGTCCAATAGGAAGACAGACGCCCAGAAAGGGTCCAGAACCTTCCTGGAGGCTCTTGTGTCTCATACCCCGCCCCCACCCCCCGCCCCAGGGTAGAAAGCCCCAGTGTATTGCATGCCCATCTGCCCTGGTGGCCAGTCAGAGTGAACATCTGCCCTGGTGGCTAGGTGGGAGCTGCTTTAGGGCACAGCTGGTCCAGTCCAGGGCAAGTTTGTTGCACAAAGCCCTGGAGGAAGGCCCACTGGTCCCACCTTGCAGAACAGTGAGCCCCAGAGAGAAGGGGCTTGATGGCACTGCATGTAATCATGCACACAGTCTTCTCCTTCAGCTAAGACGGAAGGACACCCAAGCCGCTGGCTCCCTGGCCCAGCTCTGCTACTATGGAAGGCCCTTAAAACAAAACATTATGGCCGGGCGCGGTGGCTCAAGCCTGTAATCCTAGCACTTTGGGAGGCCGAGACGGGCGGATCACAAAGTCAGGAGATCGAGACCATCCTGGCTAACACGGTGAAACCCTGTCTCTACTAAAAAATACAAAAAACTAGCCGGGCGAGGTGGCGGGCGCCTATAGTCCCAGCTACTTGGGAGGCTGAGGCAGGAGAATGGCATGAACCCGGGGGTGGGGGTTGCAGTGAGCCGAGATTGCACCACTTCACTCCAGCCTGGGCAAAAGAGTGAAACTCCATCTCAAAAAAAAAAAAAAAAAAAAAAAATCTTCCCTGAATGAGGGAAGCTTCTCTGAGGCTAGTGCCCGTGTTGCACAGAGAGGTGATGTTCTCTTCACCCCACAGGAGCAGTGGCAAGAGCCTGGACAGCTTCCAGGACAGGGAAGGGAGGTCCTGGGCACCACCCATGCCCAGGCTTCTATGGGCAGCACCTCTCAAAGACTGGTCTATGGGGTTCTGTAAACTCTGAGGTGTCAGCCAGGCAGCATCTTGAGAGCTGACACAGCACAGGTAGAAATAACATGGCTGGGTCTCCTGCCTCCAAGGTCAAAGGGGGAGCTGTCCCCATTCCCCATCCTTGTGCGCTCACCCCACCTCTCCCCACCCAGGGACCTAAAGTATGTCAAAGCTGCGAGAAGTCTTCCAGGGGGCTTGGTCCAACCCTCTCATTTTCCTGAAGCGGACACTGAGGTCGTGTCCTGCCTAAATCACAGTGCAAGTCTCCAGCAGAGCCAAAACTCAAAAAGTGACATCACCAGGTCCACAGTCTCACATGTGCAGCCTGGGCTGCGGTGAAGAGGGGGAGGCAGAGGGCATGGGCTCTGGCGCTGAATAGGCCTGCTTGAGGAGAGCAGCTCTGCCACTCATGAGCTGAGAGATCACAGTGCCCACGTCTGTAAAGTGGGGACAAAAACAAAGCCCACTTTCCAGGGTCGCTGGGAGAAGTAAACAAGATAAGCCAGTGTTGAGCAGTGCACAGTCAGGGCTCATCAAGGATGCATTCCTGCCCCTTCCAAAGTACGTTTGTGTTTAGCTATTTGTTGAGCACCTACTATATTCCCAAAAAGTCTTCTGTTCACCTTCCATGGATTATCTCATTTAATACTCACAATAATCCTAGGAAGTGGATGCTATTATTGTTCCCATTTTATGAATGAGAAGAATGAGGCCCAGAGAGATTAGGTCACTTGCCTAAGATAAGTGACAAAGCCAGGATTCAAATCCAGGCAGCCTGGCTCCAAAGCCTATGCTGCTAATCACTATGAAATGCCACCCTCCACGTGATTCCCAAACAGTCTGATGTCCATTTTATGGCAGAGCAAATATTATAATGCCCATTTTACAGATGAGAAGACCAGTGCCCAAAGATGGTCAATCAGTTCCAGAGCTGAGACATGAGCCAGATCTTTCTGCTCCCAGCCCAGACTGTCCCCGCCCTGCTGCCCTCAGCCGGCCCTCGATCAGTCTCAGCCCCCCGGGGGCTCACCCTCAGCAGAGGTGCGGGGTTTGAGTCTCAGAGATGCCCGGAAGCGGGTGCGGTCATTGAAGCTCCAGCTCTTCTGCACCTTGGTGGGGCTGCCGGCCTCACCAGCCTGCTCACTGCTCGGGGAGGTGGGCATTGTTGGAGGCGCCAGATGCTGCTTGGAAGGACCCGTCCGCCGCTGGGAGCTGCCCATGCGGATGCGGTCTTTGATGCCCATCCGGCTGCTGGCAGGGCAGGCAGGTTGGGAGAGGGCCAAGTTAGCCAGAGCTGGGGGTGGGGTGAGTGGGGACAGCTGACTTAGGACTTGGGGGTGGCTGTTAAGTCTTGATTCCTCACCAAGCGGAGACTTCTTGGGATGGGACAGGGATGTGGTAAGGGAGGCCCTGACTCCTACAAGAGGCTGATTCAGGGTCAGTTGAAGCAAATCCTCTCCCCACCACCCACATCCCACCCCTCATCACCCGGACAGATAAGGGACGCACAGGAGACAGATGTCAGAGTGGAAGGAGTGGGAGAAATTCAAAAAAGAAGTCAGAGACACAGACAGGAGGATGTGGGAGCTGGGCCTGGCCCAGGTGAGTGGGCAGAGGGTGGGGGCGGTGACCCCTTTGGGCACAGACAGGCTGCTGAGGGTCGGAGGCTCACTGGGCCATGCACACGGAGGTAGGCCTCCAGTCCTCACTGTACACAGGGGCAGGCTGTGTGGAGTCGAGGGTGTGTGTGTGTATGTGTGTGCGCACGCACACACACCTTGTGCACACACATGTGAGAGTGTGGGTGTACAGGCACTGGTGTGTATACATATGTTGGCATGTGTGTACATGTGTCAATACATATTTTCGTCCATTCCCCCACTGCTGCGGCTAGCTGATCCCACAATTGTCAGGTCAGGGTTTTAGGGCCTCGTACAGCTGTGCAGGCAGTGCAATGCAAAATAAGGACTCCATCACACAGACTTCCATGGAATGGTGCCCTGGAGGTGTGCGGTGTGATGGCCTACTGAAGGCCTCGGCCCCATGGGTCTAGCTGCTGGGCCCACGCGTATGCCCAGACCATGCCTGGTTCCTGCCCTCCCAGTGAGGGTCTCTATTTGATAACCTGTTCTTCTGTGGTCTCTCCCACCTAAGTTCAGCCCACCTTAATTGACATCCTGCCTGTGTGGTCTTGGATCCCCCCTAAAGACCTACCCCCGATACTGCCTACTGAGCTCCCTGTTCAACAGCATTTACACAGTCTGTGTGCATGTGAACACATATGTGCATGTCCACACATGCACTCAGACTTCCCTTCCCACATCCAACTCCCCACCACATTCCCCGAAACGTTGGAGGAAGATAAGTTAGCAGAGGCCTCATTCCCCAGGACAAGCCCTGATTAACCATGATCTGGAAGAGTAACTCTGTGTCCAAGAGGTTCAAGGACGATGTTATGGCTGTTTGGGTAGGACCTATGCAAACGTCCTCCATCCCATGCCCTGTGACGTCACCGCTGCCTCCCCTGCTGTGGTTTGCCACTAGAGATTCCGACAGGTTCAGGTTCAGGTTCCGGTTCAGGGAGCCCCACCCCAAACGTCTGGGGCCCCAGATCAAGAGAGCACCAGCCAGCCTTAGAGGAGACCTGAAGTGGGGCAGGAGTTGGGGGAGGACACTGTGTCACCTACTCTCAGAGGCTTTCAGATCAAGGGTTGAGCAGAGAAGAGATTCTGGTTTCGGTATTGGGTGGGAACTGGGGTCTCCCATGCCCAGGGCATGGGGTGGAGGGGGGCAAGCCAAGGTGCTGAAGTGAGGGAGACCTCGAAACCAGGGGCACCTTCTGGAAGGTGGCCAGGATGTAGGGCCATCCTTAGGGGTGGGGGCCTCTGCCCAGAGGGGAGAGGTTAATAGGTCAAGGATGGGGGCCCTGCGGATATCAGAAGGACAGGGACAGTTCCCACTATCCAGCATGCTCTCCACTGGCCCAGGACTCCATCGACACATCCCAAAGACTCCAGTCAAAGTTTGAGTTGGCTCTCCCAAACTTTCCTCTACAGAGCCATTCCTGCAGCCTCCCTCATGCTGGCAAGCACCCTCCACCCTGCCCGGTCCGTGCAACCCCTTCTCCTGTCCTCCATTCCTCCAAGGGGGAGGGGAAGACGTGCAACCCCTTCTCCTGTCCTCCATTCCTCCAAGGGGGAGGGGAAGACGTGCAACCCCTTCTCCTGTCCTCCATTCCTCCAAGGGGGAGGGGAAGACGCAACCCCTTCTCCTGTCCTCCATTCCTCCAAGGGGGAGGGGAAGACGTGCAACCCCTTCTCCTGTCCTCCATTCCTCCAAGGGGGAGGGGAAGAGAAGAGGGTGGAGAAGGCCGTGACACTTTGGCCAAGGGCCTGGAACTCCACATCACTGTGCCCAGCACATAAGGCACCAATGGCATTCTGGAGAAGAGGGTGACCTCCCTGTCACAAGAAGTAATGCAAGCAAGGCCGAGCTTGCACGCAGCAGGACTTATGGAGGAAGGAGTTGCACTAGAGGCCTTGAAAAGTCCCTTTCCAGCTCTGATTCTGTGGTGGTTGAGGAAGCTTCCAGTCTGGTTTGTGGGGTTCTGAAAGTTTCCAGCCAGCCAGAGGCCCTGAGCTCCTTTCTAATGCAAGAAGGCACTGTTCTCAGGAGTGGGCCTGGATTCCAGTTCCTTGGGTAGGGCCCAGAAAATGGCTCATATCAGCTCCTCTGAGTCTGAAAGCTAAAAGAAGGTGGAAGGAAACCTGGCACACAGTGGGCACCAAAAAGCTCTTTCCCCTCTCAGGCTCTCAGAACGTGCAGGGGCCCATCAGGCTGCCTTAGCTCTTTCAGTCCGCTCAGCCACTGTGTGTGGTGGGCTGTTTTTACCATCCCTATTTTATATACACGGAAAGAGGAGAGAAGATTTGGCCAAGGTCACAGAGCTCCTATGAGATGGAGCAAGAACTGGAACCCAGCCTTCTCTGACTTCAGAGTCTGTATTCTTTTTCTGGGTCAAGCAATCAGGATAGGGTATAGAGCAGTGGTTCTCAACTGGAGCAAGTTCCCCCACTCAGGGGACATGTGGCAATGTCTAGTAGGTAGACATCTAGTAGGTAGAGGCCAAGGGTGCTCTTCCACATCCTGCCATGCATGTGATAGTCCCAAGCCACAAAGAATTATCTAATGTCAATGATGCCAAGGTCAAGAAACTCTGGCTAAGGATCTGTTGGTGCCCTGGGAGAAAGATGGGGTGGGCTTGACTGTGGCTGCCCTGCTGGGGACGCCGAGCTCTGCCCAGGCTGCCCTGCTGGACCCAACCCCTCGAACTCACTTCCACAAGGACTTTCTTTAGGGCCTCATGATTTGCCCTCCCAGGGCCACTCTCACTGGGGAAACAGAGGCAGCCTACCACTTCTGAAGCCACATACAGCTGCTCTTCAGGGACTATAGAAACAGCCTTGCCACTGGCCTCTGCCATGGCTGTGCCCTTCCTGTCCACACCCTCCGCCGTCAAAGGAGGCTTGCAAAGTGGCGGGCCTGACCCAGAGACGCCTTACCTCAACCCTTCAGCTCAAACTGAACCATGTCCATAGCCATGGTTTCTAAGCTATGGTTTTTTGGTTTCTTTTAATAGGTAAATACGATCTTAACTGCTGAACATACCAAATCAAATAAGGTGAACATTTATTGGAGCCAGGTCCAGTTTTAGTGGAAGCAGACCCTATTTACATCTGCATTTTACATCTGAGGAAACTGTGGTGCAAAGGGGTCAGGTGATTTGCCCAAGGACACATGAATAGTGGGTAGTAGCTAGATTGTGGTCCAGAACCCACATTTCTAGGAAAAAACACCTCTCAGCAGAAGCACACATGGGCAGCCAGGAGCCCTGCCACTCGTCTCCTAGCTCCAGGACCCCAGCCCACAGGGCCCCAGAGGCACCTTTAGAAACCCAGAACTCCATGAACTCAGGTTGCCAAGCATTCCAACAGGGCGAAACTCACACTGGGCTTTTGGTTCTGCATGACCCAGCTCTGCTCCCAACCTTAGCTCTGATGTCCAGTCTCAGGGGGGCCAAACTGGGCTGCCAGCTTTTTTCCCCATGCTGCGCTCCCTCTCGCCTCCTTGCTTGGGTCCATGCTGCTTCGCTGGCCTGGAATACCCTCCCTGAAACCCACTGCTTTTAGGGCTTCCTCTGGGTTGTGTGCCTGACCCGGGCTCCACAGCCCCTGAGCTTCTTCCCTTTGTTGCACCCATCACACTCAGCTGCAATTACTCTTTGCAACTCTCCAAGGACGATGTTTTATTCATCACCATGTCCCTAGTGCACAGAGCAAGGCCTGGCACAGGGCAGGTACCAAGGAATGCCACGGAGATGCAGCTAAAAGAGCTGGGGTCCTGGAGTTGGCAAAGGTGCCAAACCCAGTTCCTTCAGGCACCTGCTAGGTCCCCAGGTGGGCAGCGGGGAGACAGAAAGTTAAGCTCAAGGCCTGGCAAAAGTCAGAGTGAGAAGGACCCTCAGAGGGCCTCTAGTTCAATCTGCCCATTCCACAGACAGAAAACTGAGGTCCAAGAAGGGAAGCAATTTGGCCAAGATCACAGAGGGCGTCAGCAGCAGAGCCAGCACACATCCTTAAGGCTCCTGCACGTGCCCCTCCTGGCACTCTGGGCCCATGCCCCTGACCTAGCAGAGGCATCCCAGAAAGGCGAGGGGTTCACCGGGGACCCAAGGCAGACGGCAGGCGGCAGGCACATGCACCTTGTCCTTGTTCCATCCTGTCTCCTCTCCAGCCCCCAAATTGGGTGGGGCAAGGAGGAGTGGGGACGGGAGGAGCAGGCGAGGGGGTACCTCGGTCTCCAGCTGGCGTGGATCCGAAAGAAACTCCGTTTATTATTAAACATCTGGCTGGAAGGTTGAGAACAAGACACGAACAGAGGTTAGTGGGAAAGGGCTGTGGGCAGAGTGTGGGGAGCTGCCGGGATGGGGCCGGCCTCCAGTGGCTGCTGGGAAAGAAGGACCCCCACCTAAATCATCCTCCAGCCCCATCGCCAGAACGTAGATGTTCTCAAACTGTGCATAAGGATCCCCTGGGGAGCGTGTTACATATGCAGAAGGCTGTATCTCTTCTCCAGAGATTCTGATCCTGTGGGCTGGGAGACAGGTCCAGGTATCTGCATTTTGAACAAACACCCCATGGGATGCTGATGCAGGAGGTCTGGAGACCATGGTTTGAGAAACTCATCGCAAAACCCTAAAGAGGAGAGGTGCTGGCCCTGGCAGTGCCATCCCACAGGAAGTCCTGCTCCTTTAACACCACTTCCTGTGAGCACACTTGGCCCAGGTCCATCCCCAAGCACCACCAGAGGTGTGGCCAACTGAGTGTGTATCTGTGCGTGTGTTTTTGGTGGAGGGGGATGTCCTGGCTGGTGGTCTAGACAGCCACGATGAATGATATGGCCATTGGGCCTGAGCCTGGTGACTGATCTACAAATCATAGCTCAGCCTCCTGGGGTCCCTGGGAGAAAGGGCCACTTTACTACCATCGCCATGTGTCCCAGACACACGCCGAATCCCCTTCCAGGCAAATGGATACGAGGCTGGGAGTTAGTGATAGCCAAGCCCTTAGCAGTAATCTGTTCCTGGGCCCCGGAGCTGGGGAGGTGTCAGGGACCAGAGGAGCCGTGAGGAGTGTACAGGTGCTAGGCTCCAGGCTAATGTCCATTCCTCTTGCCTTCCTATTCAGTCAAGATGAGACCAGAGTGAACTGGAAGCACAGAGAGCCCCGGTTCAGGTCCTGGACAGGATTGCTGGGACACAAAAACTCTTGAGTTTCCGCCTGGAAACTATGTTTGGTAGGGATGAAGGTAACAATGAGGGACCTTTGGGCAGAGAATCTGAGAGGGGCCCTACTCTCCCAGGGAGCTATCAGCCTGGCCTGGCGGTCACGCTTCCCCTCCCTCCAGCCCCAGACCTGGAGGGACTCTCCCTCTCCACCCACTTCCTGTTCAGCCCCGGCCCAGAAGTGCCCTCACTGAGAACAAGGAAGGGAGGCTGCTCCCTGCATCCTCTGCACCAAAACTCCTCCTGAGGCCTTTTCAGCCCAGAAACTCAAGAGCTCCCAGAGCCCTGATCAGCCTAAACACTGCTGATTTTCCGCCAGGACACACAGGTTCAGAATGACCTGAAGACTTCCTCCAGGACACACAGCATCGGGTGGCAGAGGCAAGCTTCTACCACGCCTCCCCTGCTGGTCACTGGGCGGCTCACCTCTTCTCCTATCCTTTGTTCTGGGCCTGGGGCTCAGAATGACACTGAAGCTCAAAGGCCAGATGTCCATTTGGCTGGTTCAGGGGTGATGTGTAAAGATAAGACAAAACAAAGAGATGGGTAAAGGCCGGGGGGAAAAAGAATGAGGGGGATTGAATCCCCGACCTCAAAGCTAAACCTCTACAAGAGCAGCCACTTTCCCATGCTGTGAGTCCACAGGCTTCCCTCATCCAAACATGCCTGAAATTCTTCTGTTAAGGAACGTTTATGTGGGGGTGAGCATTGTTTGTTCTTTGTTCTTCTTTCAAGATTTTGTAAAAAGCTCCAGGAGAGACAGTTCAAGGGGAAAGAGATGGCTGGGAGCGCCAAAGTGTACCTCACTAAGGAAGGAAAAAGAACCCCAAGAGGACCCTCTGGGATTAGCAAAGTTGCAGACACAGGCTGCAAAGTAAAGAACATTAGTCACTGGCTGAGTGTAGGCAGGTCCTACAGAGGTCTTAGTCACAGAGCTCTCTTTCCAGCTGGCATCTCGTTCCCGAGAGGCGAGTTCAGTACCAAGCCCCTCCTACAGCAACATGCCGGGGGGAGGGGGTTCCCTGCCCTCACACCCCAGGAGGGTGCCCACGATTACCTGAGCCGTAAGCACCTGTGGCCAGTGGCCTCCTCCTCTGTCCAGCTTCCCGGGAGGGATTGGGGGTGCAGGGATGGAAGAGTGAGGGGGACGTAGGAACAGAGAAAGAAAGAGGACAATGCCATGAACGGAGGAGATGATGGGAAAGGATGGCATGGACACCTCTCCCACTCAGACCCTTAGAGCCCCATGGGACAAAAAGGTGAGTCCAGCCTGGCCCCTCCAGAGAGGCCCTCAGTTTGTACCTGGCTGGCCCTCTGACGGCCTAGGAATCCCCCAAACAGGCCCAGACACCCACGAAGTGGCTGAAGGCAGGTCTGAGAGAGGATGAGGACAGAGAATGGAAGAAGAGAAGGAGAAGCAAGAGGAGGTGGCAGCCGCATGGGGCCCCTACCTTTCCCCAGGGCAGAAGGAGGTGCTGCCCGGCCGGTGGCAGGTGGCAACGGGCGGGTAACGGGAGGGTGCTCCGTCGGGTACCGGCGCCCGCCGCACCTCCAGGGGCCGTAGGCCCCCATTGCGGGCCCGTTGCACGTGCTCAAACAAGAGGGCCAGCTCTCTGTAGGAGAGGGCGCCATCAGCGGTAGACAGGGCTCTGGCACCGCCCCCCTCACCCAGTGGGCACAGAGCTCCTGAGCTCAGATATTGCCAGGTCCTGCCGCTCTAGAGGTGTTCACTGAGAGCCCAGCCAGAATAGGACAGGGTGGACTGTGGGAGACTGGCCTTCCCCACTCCCTTTCTACCCCCAGTTCCCAGGAAATCCCCAGGGATGCCAGGCCTGGATGTGAAGGCTGGCACAGCTCAAGGGCAGTCACGCAAGGAGCTTACTCTCAGTCCATCAAGCTGACTGCCTGAACGTGCCGTGCCTGCTCAGAGGCCAGCAGCGGCCCTGACATCCTTTCCCGCCAGATCTGACTCTGGATGTTAAGGGGAGACGGAGGCTGAGGAGGGCGGTGTGGCAGGGTGGCTAGCCCAGCTTCCTTCCCCTCTAGCACTCACTCCTGCCACTGGGGTTTTGGAGACTAGATTCGGGACTGTGGCTTCTTCCTAACTCTCCAGGCCATTCATTTCCTGCTGCCATGAGCCAAGGAGGGTATCTTCCCTCTCTCCTGCCTGCCTTCCCATTGTACGGATGAGCAAACTGAGGTCCAGGGAGCAGATGCCCAGTGGATTCAGAATCTCCAGACTAGGCTCTGTTCCTCTGGGCAGAGGTCCTAGACCATCCTACCACCCCCACCCCCAGATCTCCCCTCATATACATCGTATTTCTTACAAAGCAGCCCTGTCCCACTCTCGAATGCCTGACCTTGAAAAAAAAGCCTCTTCTAATCTAGTCACCTTCCCACTCTGAGGTAGGAGCTTGCCTCTGCTGGGTGGAGAGATGTAGGGGGGCACCAGTGTGATGGTGGGAGCCCCTCTTCCCAGCCCCTCCTCTCCTGCTTCTCCCCTGGGAAGCCCCTAGGGCCGGGAGGGCATGGGGATGGGGAAGCCAGGTGCAGGGGCGAGTGGGATCGCGCAACAGCTGCTCCTGGAGAACTAATGAGGCAAAAAAGGCGCCCGCAAAAGCGCTGAGCACAGCATCCTGGCCCAGCCACATGCTTGATGCCCGCCTGCCCGTGGGACTGAACTGGGCTCCATGGTTTTCATTCCTGCCTGAGGGCCTAGCCAGGCACCTGGCCACATGCACCTTTGTGATGCTATTAATAATCCCTCGCGTGGTGCCACCCCCATGCAGTCTTAGCATGGCCCTGGCCAGTGGGGCAGACCCACTTCTGGGCCCTGAGGCTGCTGACTGGCACAGTAAAAGTGGGCACATATTCCCACATGGGAGTCCAGGGTGGGAACATGTACCTAAGTCTGGAACACATGTTTCTGCCCACCCCACACTTTCTCCAACCAGCTGCAATATCCACTAACTCTGTCCCCGACTCAGGACGGAGGGGAGATGAGCTGGCTGTATCACTGCCCTAGGTGGCATCACCTATGGGTGAGCATGCACACTGCCAGCACTCCAGGGGCCGGGGCTCAGCTATGGGCCGGGGCTTCACCAATGCCCTATGTCCAGTGTCCACCCCTTCCCTGGGCATAGCAGAGTAGAATAAAGGACACTCCAGGCTCTCAATTACATAAGATCTGCAGAGCCAGCCCAAAGTGCTCCCCTGGGAGCCATCACCCCCTTTCCACCCTCCAGGGCTGCGTCTCAGCCACTTGTCCTCAAAGGGCATTGCTACCAGCCCCCCACCCACCCCCGCCCCTAGCAGGACCTACCTGAAGGATGGGAGGATACTGTCATAGTAGTACCAGGTGGCTGTCAGGTAGGCCCGGCTCATATCAGTGGAGTACAGGCGCCATGCAGCCTGGTGGTATGGGGGACGTGGGGGATGGGGCATCAGTGAGGCCTCTCCGTCCCCACCAGCCCTCTCCCCTGAAAGAACCCAGTCTTTGGTCCAGTTGTGGGTTACCCAGAGCCAGAGGCCAGTTCCAATTTCACAGCCACCAATAGCGGCAGCCAAGAAAGTAAGGCCTAGGGAGAAATGACTTCCCCGAGGGGACAAAGCAGATCAACGTCAGAGCCAGGGACCATAGAGCAGAGAGGTTAAGAGCTGGAGCTTTGTTGTCAGGCAGACGTGGGTTTCCAATCCCAGCGCTGCCCCTTATGAGTGAGGACAAATTAAGTAAAGCTTCAGAACCTCAGTTTCTTCACCTGTAAAACGCATGTAATACTGCAGGGTGTGGTGAGGAATGAACAGTTGTATATTACATGCCAAGCTCAGTGCCTGGCATATAGTAGGCACTTCATGCCAGGTTCCTCTGTTAAACACTCCTCTTATTCTCTTTATCACGTTTGATAAATACCTATTCATTGTGTATTTGATTGATAACTTTCTCTCCCCCTAGACCGTAAGCTGTGTCTTGGTTACTGCTGCCTCCTCAGTGCAAATATAGTGTCTGGCACATGCGGGTGCTTTGCGAATGTTTGCAGAACGTCGTTATTATTACTAGCAATGCCACTCCATCTTTCCCAGCTGCCTGTCACTGCCCACGGGAATACTAAGGACTGAGAGGGGAGGAAAAGCATTACCTACCAACCCCTCAGTGTCCATGGACTTGCCGAGCTTCCTCTGCAGCAGGAGGGACGAAAGTCAGACAGGAGGAAAGACTCCCGCTCCCTCCACGTAGGAAGAGCCAGGGAGGGACTGTGAGTGTGGCCATCAGCGAGAGCAGGGAGGCATGGAGGCTGCTAGGTGGGACAAGGCAGAGCTGGGCCCTGTATGCCTCCCTTCTTTGGATGCCTCTTGTCCTTAAGGGGCTGCCACCGCTGACCTCACCAGCCAGGCACCCTCCTAAGACAGGAATATTTTTACTTCCTGCTTGCCTAGGCCCCTGGCATGGGCTGGGGAGCAGCTGCCAGAGCTGTCTCATTAATTATGGGCACCACAATACCAGCTGTCTCTTGGCATGGACAGTGCCAGCCACCTGCCCCTACAATGCCCCTCAGAAGGCCAGCTCCCAGGGGACAGTAGCCATTGTACCCCAAGGGACGCTAAGAAGAAAAGGCTGAGCTGGTGGCTGGAGATAACAGGGACAGGGAGGAGGGTTCTACCCTGGGGAGGACAGATAAGGAGGGGCTGAGTGAAGCCTGGGTTTGGGGCTCAGAGGGTGACACACTGGCGAGCAGGCAGAGGTGGGCTGGGCCAGTATTCCCTGAAGCATTTCCTGCAAGGAGTTCTCTTACACACACTCCTGACTAGCAAAAAGCCAAGGCTAGTCCCGAGGTCACAGAAAATCAGAGCCCTGGCCTCAGCCCACACACAGTCACAACACACCATGGCACAGAGGGAAACTGAGACCACACACTCCTGACTTCCTACCCACCCCTCTGGCTGTTCCTTCTCTGTCTCCTTGACCAGCTCAACTTTGCCAGCCCACCCACCTGCTAAATGTTGAGGTTCCTAAAAGCCCTGTCTGCACCATCTTCTCTTCATTTGTGTGAGTGCTTGTGGAATGAATGAATGAATGAATGAATGAATGAATGAATGAATGAATGTGCTGGGAGTGGGGTAGGCTTACTGCTGCAGAGCTGATGGGGCAAACAGTGGGTCTCTACCAGAGGCCTCAGGGCTCCTGTCTGGGCTCTGCCCCTTCCCAGGCCCTGTGAAGTTGGGCTGGAGTTGGGCAATAGGGCAGCTCTGGCTAGCCCTAAACCAGGCATTTGGTGCAGGGGGAAGTTTCTGGCACTGTCAGTGAGCATCCTGGCTCTGTGTGTGACTTGGCATGTGGCCCCAGGAAAGTCACATAGCCCCTTTGAGCTTCAAAGTGGTGTCACAGTTGGGCTGGGAACATGGGTCAGCACACAGGGTTGACACACCAGTGCAGTCATACAGCCCTGCTCCTGGGGCTTCTTCCTGGGCATCTTGTACCTGGATGAGGTTGGCTGCCGGCATCCTCCGTTTCTCGAAGTGTTTCTGCCGGTGCTGCTCCTGGACCTTCAGGGCGAAGCCGGAGCCTAGGATGCCCTAGAGGGATAGGGCATGGTTGGGGGAATGTGATGGCAGTGGTGGGGCAGTAAGAGGCTGCAAGGGTGTCCCCATCCCTGCCCCTCTGAGGTGCCCCAGGCTCCCCAGGCAGATTTGTGACAGGGGCTGAGCAGGTCCCACCCTCAGCCTCCCCGACCAACTGAGCAGGAGGCAACTCACGGCAGGCAGGGCAAAGAAAGAGATGCCCAGTAAGGCGAAGCCAGCAGCCAGGACCCTGCCCAGCCATGTGTGCGGTGTCTTGTCACCATAGCCGATGGTTGTCAATGTAATCTGGAGACACAGGTTACCAGCAGGACTGGTCACGGGGGCCACCTATGGCTTGTTGGGGGTACAGGCAGGTAGGAGCCTGATCATGAGGGAAGGGGCCCGTGGTCACTCATGGGGGCTGGTTAGGGTCATAGATGGATTCTCCCTCTCCTGGGCTGGTCAGGGGAAAGGGGTACAGTCACAAGGGCTTGATGTTGGGGGCTAGCTGGGGACAGAGGCAGGTCCACCAGAGCAGGTTGGGGGGTTAGCATTGGGGCTGGTCTCAGGGAGATTCCAGCTCTAGTGAGAGGGCAGGGACAGGCCCGCTCAACCCTGAGTCAGGAGTCACAATGGGCATACCTCGGGAAGTTCCCAGGGAGGGTCCCAGGGAGAAGGGCAGCCCTACAAAGACTCACGCACCGTCCCCCACCAGAGCGAGTCGGCATAGGAGGAGAAGTCGGAGTTGGCGTCCTTCTCGGCCAGGTAGACCAGGAAGGAGGCGAAGATGAGCACCAGGAACCCGATGTACCAGGCGGTGATCAGCTCCTGCGGGGCAGGCGGCGGGGCGCGGTGAGGAGGGCTGTGCCTGCCTGGGAGATGTGTGCGGCTTCCACACGGGAAGGGGATAAAGGTCCCCCATCTCCCGGAGTCCCTGGCTCACTTTTCTTTCTCAGCTCCTCCCATCAGGGCGACCCTGCCCTGGCCTTCGCGAAACCGCCAGCACTCCCCCTACCCCGACCCCTATTCCCACCCTCACCCCCACCCCGCCTGCCTTGAGTCTCCAGGTTCCAGGCTCAGGACTCCAGCACCCTGCCCATCTTGCCCCGCCCCGCAAGTCCCACTTTCAGGCTTCCATGTGGGGCCCACCCTAGCTCCGCTCCAGCCCCACCCTCAGGTCCCACCTCAGCTGCCCACTTTGTGGTAAGAGTGGGCCCTTCAAACCCAAAAGCATCTAGGGGAAACCCTCAAGCCCCGCCTCTCCGGCCCCGCCCCCTGATCTGGTCCGGACTCCTAGGCCCGCCCCTACCTAACTCGGACTCCACTTCGCCCCACCCACTTAGACCTCGGGCTCCAATCCCCGCAGGCCCCACCCCTTCCCAGCACCGAGACAGCCCCTCTGGCCTCGCCCTCTCCGCCCTGCCCGCTCTGCTCTTGCCCCAGACACGCCCTCGAGCCTCCGCGCGCGGTCCGCAGGCCTCACCTTGCTGTGAGCGTAGACCACTGAGCCCAGCAGCTTCCAGGTGCCGCCGCGGCGGTCCATGCGCACCATGCGCAGGATCTGCAGGAAGCGCATGCTGCGCAGCGCAGACGTGGCGAAGATGTTGCCCTGGGTGCCCGCGGCGATGACGGCCACCGAGGCCACGAACACGATGAAGTCTGCAGGGGCGGGAGCGGCGAGGTCGCAGCCAGCCCACCCCGTGCATGGACCCGGAGGCGGGGACTTCTAGGGCTGTGGCAAGGGACTGGGGAGCGAGGGGGAGGGTCCGTTGAATCTGTGCCGGTCTCCAGGGTCAGAGTCAGGATTGGGGTCAAGGCGTCACCCTGGCTCCTGGGGTCAGGGGTCAGGTCGGGCGGGGCGCGCCTCATTACCTATGACACAGAAGGGCTTTCTGGCAAAGCGGAAGCGACCCTGCCATCCTCGGTAGCGGCAGCAGCATCCGGCAGACCAGACCCGGACGATGTACTCCAGGCCGAACACCACGATCATCACGAATTCCTGTGGGACCAGGAGCCTGAGTTCTGGTCCTCACTCTCCAGAACTGAGGCCCAGGTCACAGCGCGGACCCAGCCAAGAGTCCCTGGGTTAGGGGGACCAGGGCCTCCTCAGACCCGTCTCCTGGAGTTTCCTGGACTTGAGGATTCCGGAGGGCAGGAGACCCCCTCCGCCTCCTGCAAGAAGACTAAAAGCCCGAGCGTGTCCTCCCCTTCCGGCCCCCATGAGCTGATCGGATTTTTCCGCTCCTCAACATGCCCTCCCCGTCCCAGCTGTCTCAGACTCCCTAACTCTGACCGGGTGACAAGAGGGTGGCTGGCTGTCAGCTGTCTCCCTCTGTGGGGCTTCCGTTTGGTGTTTTGTGTTTAGGCAAAAACTGAACTAAAATCCACCACATGTGGAGTTTGCAGATTTTGTCCTGAGAAGGGGTGGAGCCTACTCACTTCTATTCTGGACCCATCATAAGCCCTTGCATAGAGGCAGGAGGTCCCCCAACACTTGCTATAAAGTGGGGATGATGCCCACAGAGGGGCAGCCACAGCTGAGGGAACACAGCACAGCAAGCTGCTCTCTGAGCCATGGTATGAGAAGCCTCTTTCCACCTTCAGCCCTCAGCCCAGAGGTGCTACCTCACACAGCCCCCCCTCAGTCCTGGACTCCCAGCACTTACCAAGATGAGGAGACACTCGTTGGCAAGTTCCTGGTGCTCCTGAATAGTGGACAGCACAGACAGCACCAGGCAACTGAAGACCAGCAAAAATCTACAATTGCAGCGTGAAGGAGAGGGTTAGATTGTTGGAGGGACAGGGCGGCCAAGGGTGCCCCTGGCAGGGGGTTACAGAGCCAAGAGAGGAGAGCATTATTTTCAGAGAATTACGTGGCAATCAGAATCAGAATCCCCTGGAGTTACAGCTCTGTGCTGGGCACCAAAGGCAACAGCTCCCAAGCCCCAAGCTACTGGACCTCACAACTGTCTCAATTGCCCCCTGCTGCAGGCTGCAGCTCAGAGAGGTAGTCACTCATCTGTGAGTAGCAGGTCTGTCTGGGCTGGCAGTGGAAACAGACTGACTCAAGGTTCCTCCAGGTCTAGGCACCCACAAGTGGTGGCCACAGCCCCAGCTTGGTTTTAAGATGTCTTGGGAGAAGTGCTCCAGAGGTCAGCCCAGGGCTCAGGGAAGGTCAGCAGATGAAGGAGGGACCTTCTTTCTTAGGCACTCCAAAGTGGCAGGAGCCTGGCCTCATCTGCAGAATTGGGACAACTGTCCCTGCCTTCGTGGAATTAAGTAACAAGATAGCTAGAAAAGGAAAGAGGATCATGGAGGACAGGTAGAGAAGGAAGGATGCAGTGGGGAGAGGATGTAGAGAGGGGAATTGGGCAGTGTGGAGCTGGGCCATCGAGGCCAAGAACTCCCCTGCAGACAGTGTGAAACTACAGAGTGGCCCAGAACCAGATGCTTAGAAATGGAAGGAACTTTAGACTTTAGCACATCTAATACTTCCCTCCTCTCCCATTGCACCACGAGGAAACGGGCCCGAAGAGGAAGAAGGACTCACCCTTTGTCACCCAGTGTGCCCAGGACAGAGCCGAGATTAGAGCCAGGGTTCCCAACTTCCCCGTGGATGAAAGAGGACAAAGGGCATGAGGAGAGGAGCTGGTGGCCTTGGCACTATGTGGATGGGTGAAGGAGAGCAGGGTGAGAGGTCACAGGCTGCAGACACAGCAAAGGCGAATGAGGTGGCCTCCAGGAGCACCCCTCTTTGGGATAGGGGTGTGCTGAACATGCACGCACCCTGGAGGAGACTCCAGAGGGAATGGGCTTCTCTGGAAATACATTTCTGTGTACTGACCTGCCAGCCTGCCCAGATGTCCCCAGTCTCCCAACCTCTGCACCGTTGCTGGCACGGTGCATGCTACACAGAACACCTCATGTCTGTGCCTGCGAGACTCTGCTCACCCTCCATGCCTACAAGAACACAAATGCTACATGCTCTCCAGAGCCTCTGATTCCTGCACCCCACTATCCCCACTTCAGAACTGCCACCTCCCGATGCTTGCCTCCCTGTGTGTGGCCCAAGTCACTTTCTATGTGGCTTTATTTATATTCATGTTTCATGGTGACCTTAACGGCAGCAGCTCAAGGTCAGAGAGATCTGAGTTTGGATCCCAGTCCTGCTTGTGTGTGTGGTTTTGGGAGCGTCAACTGCCTTCTCCGAGCCATCTCCTTATCTATGAAATGGAGGCTATGGGAGGAAGACATGCAAAGGACATGGCACTACCCTGGCTCACTTGCACCTCCTGGACAGGGGCTCCTGGCCATTTTGGGGGTCAAGTGTATCCCAGCAAATGCCCCTGGTTTGAGAAGGTAGGTGGCAGATGTCGGTAAATTGTTTTGAGTGAATGAGTTCGAGAAGAGCTTATTCCTTGGCCAGTTCCAGACCAGAGCTGAGTCAGCAAAAACATGGGGCACTGGAGAACAGAAGAGAAGAGCACCAGCTCCTCGTGTTCAATAATTAATCACAAAAAAAGACAGCGGCCACATGCACCTGCATCAGGACTGCAGCTGAAGCAGGGTTTGGGACCAGAAGGGCCCTCCATGAGGTCATCTCATGCAGCCCCCTCCTCGGGGAATGGCCGCAGCCAGGACTTTATAAGCCTTTACCTTGGCCTTGATAGACACCCTCCCGTCCTGTTTCTCAGCTGACCTCAGAAGCTCAGGCAGCAGTGGGCCACTCTGGGGCCTTCTTCCTCAGTGTTTCATTAATGCTTTTCTTTTCTTTTAGTTTTTCCTTTTTTTTTTTTTTGAGATGGAGTCTCACTCTGTTGCCAGGCTGGAGTGCAGTGGCGCGATCTCGGCTCACTGCAACCTCCATCTACTGGGTTCAAGCGAGTCTGCTGCCTCAGCCTCCTGAGTAGCTGGGGCTGCAGGCGCATGCCACCATCCCCAGCTAATTTTTGTATTTTTAGTAGAAATAGAGTTTCACCATGTTGGCCAGGATGGTCTTGATCTCCTGACCTCATGATCTGCCTGCCTCAGCCTCCCAAAGTGCTGGGATTACAGGTGTGAGCCACTGCACCCGGCCATCATTAACACTTTTCTTGCCATGTCAGTAGTTACACATCTATAAAATTTCCTCTTCACAATTGTAAAAAAAAGCAAATTATAAAACCTTAATGGCAATGTGATCCCAATATTTGAAATAGAGATGGTTTTTATACAGGTACCCGGAGTCAGCAAGGCTATCTATGGGTGGTAAAATTAAGTAATTTGGCTTTTGTTTTGCTTTCTGCTTATCTGTATTTTCTATTTTTTTTTTTTTTGAGACAAGGTTTCACTCTGTCACCCAAGCTGGAGTGCAGTAGCATGATCACGATTCACTGCAGCTTTGACCTCCTGAGCACAAGCCATCCTCCTACCTCAGCCTCCTGAGTAGCTGAGACCACAGGCACATGACACCACACCCCCCTAATTTTTTAATTTTTTGTAGAGATGGGGTTGAACTATGTTGCCCAGGCTGGTCTCAAACTCCTGGGCTCAAGTGATCCTCCTGCCTCTGCCTCCCAGAGCTGGCAGTGTGAGTCACTCACCCAGCCTGTATTTCCTAATATTTTTTTTAGAACAGACATGGGTTGTTTGGGTAATAACAAACTAATATGAAATTTAAAATGCAGGCCAGGCGTGGTGGTTCATGCCTGTAATCCCAGCACTTTCGGAGGCCGAGGTGGGCGGATAGCCTGAGGTCAAGAGTTACAGACCAGCCTGGTCAACATCGTGAAACCCCATCTCTACTAAAAATACAAAAATTAGCCAAGCGTGATGGCAGGTGCCTATAATCCCAGCTACTCTGGAGGCTGAGGGAGGAGAATCACTTGAACCTGGGAGGCGGAGGTTGCAGTGAGCCGAGATGGCGCCATTGCACTCCAGTCTGGGCGACAAGAGCAAGATTTCGTCTCAAAAAAAAAAAAAAAAAAAAATTAAAATGCGTTTTCTTAACAATACAAACAGGAAAAGCCCACTTTGGATCCTGCCCCACCCTTGACCAGAGTCGCCTCTGCCATTCAGCAGGTGTGAGGATGCGGCCGCCTCTCCCAGGTGTCCAGCTCATGTGTCCAAATGCCTGCTCAGTGACTCTTCTTGGATGTGTGGTGGCCTCTCAAACCCAACACTTCCAAACACCAGTTCTCAATTTGTCCTCAAGTCCTCCTCACCTCCTGCTCCCCATCTCAGTAACGGCACCAGGGCTCCTCCAGGGCTCAGGCTCCTTGATTCTTCCTTTCCCTCCCCCGGCACATCCCCTTCTGAGCAAATTCCATTGGCTCTACCTTCAGAATCTATCCCTGGGCAGGCCAGGTCGCACCATCCCAACCAAGCCGCCACCATCTGGCACCTACCTGGCCTCCCTGCCTCCACTATGCCTGAATGTGACCACTCTCTTCAAAGCAGCCAGAGTCATCTTCCCACAATGCACAACTGGAAACCATTGCTCTCCACAAAACTCTCCTCAGACTTCCATCGCACTTAGAGAGGGAAAGTCCAACTCCTTGGCAAGGCTCTGCGAGGTCTGTGCCTCCACCCCCACCTCCAAATTTGACCTTCTGCACTCTCCCGCTGGCTCACTGCACCCCACTTATTCTGGCCTCCTTGCCAGTCCTGGAACACACCTAACATATTTCCACCTCCAGGCTTTGAACCTGCTTTACTGTTTCCTCTGCCTTACCCAGGTCTGTTCCAATGCCACTTCCTTGGAGGGGCCTCCCCAGCCATTCCCTCTCTGAAACAATGGCCTCATCTCCACTCTCTTGCCCCTTATTCTGACTGACTGATTTCACAGCACTATTGAAAGACTAAGTAAATGAATAGCAGGAGTTCACTGTAACCAAACATCAAAACACCGTGTCACCAAGCCAAAGCCTCCAGTTTGCACCCACTGAAGAGGTCCCCAAAGCACATCCATCCCTGACTCCTCTGGCTGCCCCATCTTTCCTAAAAAGGCACACCTCTGACCTTGACCATCTCCATTTAGCAGACACTGCTTAAAAAGCCCCCGAACTTCACTTCTCCCTGCTTTAACCCACTGGCTAAGAGTTTCTATACCCTTGATACTCTCATTACATTTGAAGGGGTGTGCTTGGACTAATAGAAAACACCCTGGGAAGAGGCGCGGTGGCTCACGCCTATAATCCCAACATTTGGGAGGCCAAGGTGGGAGGACTGTTTGAGTCCAGGAGATCAAGACTAGCCTGGGCAACATTGTGAGATGCTGTCTCTACAAAAAAATCAAAACAAAAATTAGCCGGGCATGGGGGTGTGCACCTGTGGTCCCAGCTACTCCGGAGGCTGAGGTGGGAGGATCACTTGAGCCAGGGAGGTTGAGGCTACAGTGAGCTGTGATCTCGCCACTGCATTCCAGTTTGGGGGACAGAGCCAGACTCTGTCTCTCAAAAAAAGAAAAGATCCTGTGTTCCAGGCACCTGAATAATTATCCGTATCTTCCAGATGAGGAAATAGGGCTCAGGGAGGGACAGGCTTGTTCAGGATCACACAGTAGATCTGTGGCAGAGCTGCAGCTCAGGCTGACCCTCAAGCTGCCTTGGGCTTCCTGGAGGGGGTTCCTCACACAGGGACAGCAGAAGAGAGATCAGTATCTGGAGGTCAGGGGTAGAGGAGACAAGGTGAAGGAGCCCCTTAGCTGGGATTTCATGCCTGCCACAACTAGGGTGTGGCATTCATCCAACAAAGGACTATCCAAGTATTCTCTCTGG